ATTATATAGTTGCTAGAAAAAATTTCATACACTTTGCCTTTTGTGTTAATCTGCTTTGTTCATCCATTTTGCTCAAGCACAATCTGAGGTAGATTGTCTTGATTACTGTCAGAGATGCATTACATTATGTGGATGATTATAAGAATTGCATAACATTGTATTGATAACTGTCAGAGATTCATAACATTTTGTAGATTACAGTCAGAGATACATTACATTGTGTTCATAACTATCAGAGATGCATTACATTGTGTTCATAGCTGTGAGAGATGCATTACATTGTGTTCATAGCTGTCAGAGATGCATTACATTGTGTTGATTATAAATGTCAGTGATGCATTACATTGTGTTGATTATAACTGTCAGAGATGTATTACATTGTGTTCTTAGCTTGCATTTTATTGTTTTTATAAATGTCAGATATGCATTACATTGTATTAATAACTATCTGAGATGCATTACATTGTGTTCGTAGCTGTCAGAGATGCTTTTCATTGGGTTGATAACTGTCAGAGATGCATCAAATTGTATTGATAACTGTCATGCAGAGATGCATTACATTGTGTTCATAACTAGTCAGAGATGCATTACATTGTATTGATAACTATCAGAGATGCATTACATTGTATTAATAACTGTCATAGATGCATTATATTGCATTTGTGTTCATAGCTGTAAGAGATGCATTACATCGTATTGATAACTATCAGAGATGCATTACATTGTATTAATAACTGTCATAGATGCATTACATTGTGTTCATATCTGTCAGAGATGCATTACATTGTATTGATAACTATCAGAGATGCATAACATTGTATTAATAACTGTCAGAGATGCATTACTCTGTGTTGATAACTGCCAGAGATGCATTACATTGTATTAATAACTGTCAGAGATGCATAACATTGTATTAATAACTGTCAGAGATGCATTACTCTGTGTTGATAACTGTCAGAGATGCATTACATTGTATTAATAACTGTCAGAGATGCATTACATTGTGTTGATAACTGTCAGAGATGCATTACATTGTGTTGATAACTGTCAGAGATGCATTAATTACATTGTGTTGATAACTGATACATAAAGAAGGTATCTGTTTTTTTTCCTCAATTTTTCATTTTGTATTTCAGTTCATCTCCATAATGAGTTCCTGTTAGCCATTATGTCAAGATGTCAGAGTTTAAGTTCTTCATTAGGTATGTAAAAACTTTATCATAGTATTCCTTTATATGAATTTCAAAATGACAAATTTGATACATTCAAATTTCTTTGGAAGAGAAGTGAAATGTCAATTCTGAAGATGTAAATTTCGTTTGCATGAAAACTTAGATGAAGTTATCCCAAGGTAGGTAATTCTAGCTTTTAAATAGTTGATTTAATTCATAAAAAATGTTTCTAAAACATTGCCAATATTATGATCTTAGTTTGAGAGATATATTTTTTTACTTATTTTCTTGTAAATGATCTGAAAATGAAAAGTCTAATGTAATTATTTTGTAATGATCGATCTGATGAAATAACTACCAGCATAAATTTCTCAGTCTACCGGTTTGTAATCAAGGGAAGCCTTAATTTTGAATCCCAGGATTTATTTACTCTAGGAAAAGTGTACTACAGTTATAAAGTGTCATACTAATACTAATTGCTGAACAGAAAAATAATTATTGTGAAAATCTGTAAGTTCTAGGAATATATAATAATTCTAAGCATATGGGTTGGAAATTTAACAGCAAATTTGTAAGCAAAGCTTGGACACGGGATTGTATTTTAATAAGATTGATGTGTGAAAGTCCTGTTTGACACACAGGCGATTCAAGGATTTTTTTCTTTCTCATCAGAAAAAGGTTATAAATTCCTGTGCAATGCACATGATTTTCATTTTTTAGACTGCGTCCTGAACATGCATGAAATAATTGCCACTGGACATTAAGCAACTAACAATCAATTTATTAGGCTGAAATTAGAAAAGAAAATTCCAAAAAGAACACTATTTTGGAAGTCTAAATAATTTGTTATGAATAGCAAAACATGCTAGGGAGGGTTGAGATTTTTGCGCCTGTCCCAAGTCAGGAGCCTCTGGCCTTTGTTAGTTTTATGTTTTTTTATTTTAGTTCATTTATATGTTTTGGAGTTTAGTGTGACGTCCATTTTCATTGAACCAGTACACATTTTTGTTAAGGGGCCAGCTGAAGCCCGCCTCCGGGTGCGGGATTTTCTCGCTGTGTTGAAGACCCGTTGGTGGCCTTCGGCTGTTTTCTGCTCTTTGGTCGGGTTGTTGTCTCTGTGACACATTCCCCATTTCCATTCTCAATTTTAGACATGCTAGAAGGCCTCTGCAGTTTAGAAAAACATAAAGGAACAGAATAGATTATATACCCAGTATTTGAATTGGCTTTTTAGTTATTTTCTTGTAGCACTGTTCGTGTATATGCATATGTATAATAGCAATAAAAACATATTCATTTTGTTCATTTTAGTTCCAAGGGAGAGTAGTGTATCTGGACGAGTTTCTGATCAATCTCGAATTAAACAAAAAAGTAAATTACGGAGAAAATCTACCAGTTCTAGGAGTACATTACAGGTCAGTTTCAATGGATTTCCTATTCCAAGGAAAGGAGGGTAGGGGGAATAAAAAATACCCTGGCTTTCACATCTATAATATCTCAACAGCAAAGCGTCTACGGGTAATGTCTGTAAAATAAAACAAGATGTATGTCATATAATTGCCAAGGAGACAACTTTCCACCAGAGTCCAAATGACGTGGTTTAAAGCAACTGTAAATTGATTTGTAAGACTGTATGTTATTGTTCATGGCTTTGTGTTAAGATTTGATCATCATCTGGATGCAAGAGCTTTAAATGATAGCCTCAAGGATTATTGTTTTTTTATACCCTTCACCCTGCACTTAAGTATTGGTGCATTCAAAACAGTAATGAAATGCAGAGTAATGGTTAGGCTAATTTTCTGATTATTTTTTTGGGGAGGGTCCCTTGAATTAAAAAATGAAGAAGTATTATAAATGTTAGATAACATCAGTCAAATGTTCTCTTTCATTTTTGCCTTAAGCCTTCAAACTTTTTACATTTATTAAGGAAAAAACTGCAAAAATGCCAGGCTGGCCTAATTTTCAGATCTTATCATTACTGATAAACATGCCACAAACTTGCCCAAAAGAACATTTCTACAAGTTTGGATAATTTTGGGAATTGCCAAGACTTTTGGTTGTCTTTCCTGTCATGTGATTCACATTTATGGCAACATTTCCTTTACCCATGTAACCATATAATTAGTAAATATATGACTGAAAAGTAAGGACATCCAAACAAAATTGCACCACAATAAACCTAACTAAAACAAGATTGGATTAAAAACCAATAATCAATCAAGAAATTAATAGCAACAAAGCACCACAACATTCTTAAATTAAATTGAAATTGATCTAAAGTCTGAGAGAAGTTGTATTGATGGTAAGAGAGTAGAATTTTACCTAAACAAGCAAAAAGCAAATATAACAATTCATTATTTGTCACCTTTAAGTTTTGAATGCAACATTATTGTAATAATTTTATTATGATACATTAATTAAGATATGTCTTCACTTTTCAGAAATTTGTTCCTTCCAATCCAGTGAACTTTGCACCACAAGCAAGTTATAAAGGGGGTGAAGAAATAAGTAAGTCAAACATACTATATACATTGTGTTGGAGCTATTAAGTACTTAGTACATTATATTTAAGTTTTGCTTATTTGTTAGATGAAACATGAATTCTATATCAACTATTTTAAATATAGAAACATACTGGTGAGGCAGGTTCTTCATTTGTTCATTTGTAACACTTTCAAAGATGATAATAACCCTGCTCAAAATTGGGTATACTGATTTACCCCTTGTCTGGCTGTATATGTCCATCAGTATTTCTGTTCTTCCTATAAAACCTTTTTTCAGGAACTACAAATTATTAGAGCTTCCTGAAATTTGGTGTCTTGTGAGCATTGTTTACCGTGCAATGTGTCTACATCAATTGTAAGAATTTCATAACACACTTCACAAACAATTAACTATGTACAGGTAGCTATTTATTATACTTCCCTTTCTAAAGCTGGTGATTTATAGGGACTTCATTCTTCCATCCCTTCACTTGTCTGTTTTTTGTCCCACTTTTATATCTGCAACTGCTCTTGAACCGCTGGACAGAATTTTGTGAAATTCTGGGTAGTCCTGCTTTCTCCACCTATCAAAATTGGAGAACTGGATATAGCTAATAGTGCTGAAAGGGTTAACACCAACAATTAATCCATCAATGGTTTATGCTAATGTGTTTATACTTAATTCCTATATCTATGCCACCTGTTTATTTTCCAGATTTTGCCACAAGAGAATTAGCTGTGCCAGATATATCTATGGTTCAAGGTAGAATGTTAGTGTGTGCCTGGGAAACAGGGTTAGAGGATGTATCAGATACAGCAGTCAAACTTATCATGCAGGCAATAGAGGTAAACAGGGGGGTATGCTGGTTTGATAAACATATTATTGGTCAACGAACATGACGAAAAGTCATGGTGCTTAAGCAGTGTTGTTCAAAGTAATTTTACAGGAGTGATGTGATATTCTCTTGCTGCACTTTGCACAATATTCAATAAACTCATAAATAATTGTTGTCATTATCACAATACTAAAACTGAATAAAAATAACCACAGGCTTTACTGTCTATTGCTTGTATTACTCTTGAGAACAGAGACAGACAGATTGAAGTTTGTGCTTTAGAAAATGAGCTCCACATACAAATTTAGCAATAAAGTTTTGCCGAAAAAGTATATTTTAAAAAAAAATTCCTATTAATTCAGGAAATAAAAGATTTCTTCTTTATTTCAGAACCAATTAAAGAATATAATATCACAGGTATTATCTAAAAGAAATGGATACAAGTTGAGAGAGAAGAAATTTAAATATGCCATGGGAACACAAGTATTAAATCCTTACCTACGACATACTTCTCAGATTAACGACACTTCCACAGAAAGGTAGGAACACAAGTACTAAATCCTTACCTACGACATACTTCTCAGATTAACGACACTTACACAGAAAGGTAGGAACACAAGTACTAAATCCTTACCTACAACATACTTCTCAGATTAACGACACTTACACAGAAAGGTAGGAACACAAGTACTAAATCCTTACCTACAACATACTTCTCAGATTAACGACACTTACACAGAAAGGTAGGAACACAAGTACTAAATCCTTACCTACAACATACTTCTCAGATTAACGACACTTCCACAGAAAGGTAGGAACACAAGTACTAAATCCTTACCTACGACATACTTCTCAGATTAACGACACTTCCACAGAAAGGTAGGAACACAAGAATTAAATCCTTACCTATGACATACTTCTCAGATAGCTGACACTTCCACAGAAAGGTAGGAACACAAGAACTAAATCCTTACCTATGACATACTTCTCAGATTAACGACACTTCCACAGAAAGGTAGGAACACAAGAACTAAATCCTTACCTATGACATACTTCTCAGATTAACGACACTTCCACAGAAAGGTAGGAACACAAGAACTAAATCCTTACCTATGACATACTTCTCAGATAGCTGACACTTCCACAGAAAGCTGGGAACACAAGAACTAAATCCTTACCTATGACATACTTCTCAGATAGCTGACACTTCCACAGAAAGGTAGGAACACAAGAACTAAATCCTTACCTATGACATACTTCTCAGATAGCTGACACTTCCTCAGAAAGGTGGGAACACAAGTACTATAAATTCAGAAATTATTGCAAGGTTTTTATTAATGGGAATAATTGGACTGGGTGAATATCACAATAATAAGAACTCACGTTCTGATATCTGTGTGCAGAAAGTTTTGAACATTTGTATTGAGTACTTCAGAAACTTCAACAAAATGTCTCTGTTTATATCAAGGAATTACCAGTAAATGAAAGGAAATCTTTTATCAATATCAATTATGTACCGTCAATTTCAGCTGTCAATTATAAAGAATAATGGACAGCTGAAGGAAATTGTTAGAAGGATACAAGTGAAGGTTAGAAGGATACAAGTGAAGGTTAGAAGGATACAAGTGAAGGGTAGAAGGATACAAGTGAAGGGTAGAAGGATACAAGTGAAGGTTAGAAGGATACAAGTGAAGGTTAGAAGGATAGTGAAGGTTAGAAGGATACAAGTGAAGGTTAGAAGGATAGTGAAGGTTAGAAGGATACAAGTGAAGGGTTCCACCTTTTTCAACAAAGAAAAATATATATATATTTAAGAATAATGAGAAATGACAGAGTTTTCTTAAATGAGGTTAGTTATAGTATGAATGTGAATGAAACAACACCAAACAAAAACAAAAAAGACATCCAGAGGTCAGCATATGGTTGTCAACAATAAACAGTTGTCTTAACCTAACCTAAAGCCATTTAAAATATTGAAAGGTTGTGAAAAAATTAACAGGGACTACCAGTATTCCATTCTGCCATCAACACCATATTTGCTGAAGAAAAATAAACCTAAAGATATAATAACTATTTCTTACTAGTACTAAACCCTCTGTCTGTTAGTTAGTCAATATCAATTTGTAGCATGATGAAAGTAACATTTAAGAATATTGGTTAAAAAAAAGCATACCAAGTATTGTTGGGGTTTAAAATTGGATTCCAAGTGACCTGTCAATACCTAATTCAATTAATGTAAAGCAGCTTATATTATGGGCTTAAGGCACACAAAATATATTGTTATTGCCCAATTTAGGTCTTGTCATAAATTGTCAGTACATTGTAGTCTGAATATATGTTGTGTGAGTGTTCACAGACTGATTTGAATAACTGACCTAAATTCCAAAACTTGTCTGCATAATATTCAACAAAATCAATTAAGATATTTTCGAGCCATGCTAGCTGCCATCTTATTTTATTCTTTGCAGTGTTTTGTTTTCTGTTGTTTGTCTTTATCTTTAAGTCATTGTGATGTTTGTTTTTCTCCAACCTAAAATGGTTTTTGAATGGCCGTTTTGTATCTTCTCTCCTTTTTATCAGAAAGCACTTATTACAGACAGCAAAAACATAGGTACAAGTGAAATAGTTAAAACTATCAAAACTTTATCAAAGTATAGTTGTAGTTACTAAAAAGCCAGCTCGAAGTACAGAATTTACATGCTTTCTTAAACTGTGAGTCTGTCTTTATTAGATACAAACATGTTTTAATTTTTGTTGGTAGTGAGGCCACATCAATAACAGCAAATGCACTACACATACCCAGTCGTAAACCACCTTTTGACATTGGTAGTGCCAAGGCTGCTGAACAGTTATCATCAGCACAATTTCCTGCCAGTAAAGGGCCAGTAACTCTGTTTGAATTGCTGGAAACATTACAGGTATGTAACACTCTATAAGTGTGATCACATTTTCTGGTTTTATTTCAAGTAACTGAACAATATGAATATTACGGTTATTTATTTACCTTTCATTCTGTTCGAAATAGGAAACTTTTCATGTATTTACCTGGGTATATTTTGGGTTTAAGTCTTATCAATGTATTATGCGTTTAGGAGCAGCAGTTTTTTTCTCACAAAAATCAAAGAATTCTTTAGTATTTTTGTGTTTTTAAGAATGTATTAAACAAGGGGCAATCCACAATATTTTCCATAGTTGAAAATAAAATAAGATATAAGAATGTCAGACAGCTAGGTAATATTTCCTGATCGGGAGACATTCTATAGAACAGGAAGTTGCAAATATGTGAAAATATTTCCCGATCTAAAAATGGTTGGTAGACATTTTATTATAAATCTCCCAATCAGGAAACATTCTCTGACATGAAATTGCAACTTTCTGTTCAATGGAATGCATCACGATCAAGGAATATTTCTGCTCTTTTGTGTATTTTTCTTGTTACAGATTTATGTTTATTGATTATTTTTTTTTTCAGCTGTACAGAAGTTCTATAGCATCCCACTCAGTATATGCCCCAGCAATAGAAAGAGTTATCCACAAACTGTGGCATCCAAGTCAAGAGGAGATAAACCAAGAACATATTCATCATCAAGAAGTGACAATAAAACAGTTACACAGTCAATCTGTTGTCAGATAACACTAATAAAAAAATCTAAATAAACATCTTTTTACTTCCTGCAATTCTCTTAAGAAAAGATCAAGCCACATAATAGTTTTATCCAGTACAAAGTAGGTGAGATATAGTGATCTGTCTGATTTTTCATCTGTTTACAGTTTATTAATGCAATCAAACTATTTTTACCCAAGCAGAATGAAATTTGTACAGTAGGTTAACATTGGCTTACATTGAAAAATGAATGCTAGTAAACAAATTTTGTATGAGTTATGCCATTGGAAACATAAAAAATTTCAAGCACTTCTGCTGTTATAATTTGCCATAATTACCATACAAGCTGTTCTACTCTTTCCATTCGTTTATGGAATTGTAATAAAATGGAAAAGCTTTATCATAACTTCATCTTGATCAAGATTGATTAGGAGTACTAATCAAAATTTTGATTAGTTTATGCTAATTCTTTTTGAAATGCTGAATTTTATTCTTTACTTTTGTATTACATCCCCATGTGATACTGCAATGACATTGTCTGTCCAACCCTTTGTCTGTAATTTCAGTTGCATATTTCTCAGCTTCTGTATCAAATGATTTTGCTAGGCACTGGCAGGCATTGAATTTCTGAATTTTTCGTCTCCGTTCTCTAACTGAAGTTTGCCTCAACCAAATGTTATGAAACTTATACACAATACTTCTTACCACAAAACTCAGATCAAGTACAAATTTCCGTTAACTTTTACAAAAATCTTCTCCTCTGAAACTACTAGGCCAAATTTAACCAAACTTGGCCACAATCATCATTAGGGTATCTAGTTTAAATAAAATGCTCCGCAGGGCGAAGCTTGATACGACCGCAGAGGTCGAACCCTGAACAGTTGGGGCAAGTATGGACACAACATTCAAGCTTGATACAGCTCTGAATTTGGATTGTGATTAAATATTTGACACAGCATAGGTTTCTGACACAGAATGAATGTGGTCTAAGAACTTAAAAATTTTAAATTGGACATTCACCCATTATGGTCCAATATCCAAAATCTAAATACATGGTTAGATTCAGCATATCAAAGAACCCCAAGAATTTAATTTTTGATGACATCAAACAAAGTTTAATTTTGGACCCTTATGACCTCAATGTGGACAAAGTTGATAACGGGCCCAAAAATCAAAAATCTAAATACATGGTTAGATTCAGCATATCAAAGAACCCCATATATTCAATTTTTGTTGAAATCAAACAAAGTTTAATTTTGGACCCCGATTTGGACCAACTTGAAAACTGGGCCCATAATCAAAAATCTAAATACATGTTTAGATTCAGCATATCAAAGAACCCTAAGAATTCAATTTTTGTTAAAATCAAACTTAGTTTAATTTTGGACCCTTTGGACCTTAATGTAGACCAATTTGAAAACGGAACCAAAAATTAAGAATCTAAATACACGGTTAGATTCGGCATATCAAAGAACCCCAATAATTCATTTTTTGATGAAATCAAACAAAGTTTAATTTTGGACCCTTTGGACCTCAATGTGGACCAATTTAAAAACGAGGCCCAAAATCCAAAAACTTAATACACGGTTAGATTCAGCATATTAAAGAACCCCAAGAATTCAAGAATAAAACCTGCAAATACTGCACAATTGACAATTTCTTGCTATTGCGCAATATTGTGCTATTGGATTCTTGCTATTGCGCAATACTGTGCAATTGAAGATTTCTTGCTATTGCGCAATACTGTGCAATTGAAGATTTCTTGCTATTGTGCAATACTGTGCAATTGAAAATTTCTTGCTTTTGCACAATACTTATTATATAATAATTTACACATCCTGTTTGGTGTGTATCTCCTACCATATCATTATTATTTGCTTTTAAATATAAATCAGAAATAACCAACTTAAAATGGAAAATTTTAAAAGAAAAAAAAAGGAAAAAAAGAAAAAAAAGGAAAAAATTTCAGAGAGATCCATACACTTGAACACAAGTTATTGTCTGGAAACTAGAAAAATGTGTTTTTTGGCCCCCAATTCCTAAACGTTTAGATCAATTACCCCCAAACTCAATTCCAGTTTTCCATTTGTGATATGGAACCTTGTAGTACAATTTCAGAAATATCCAAACACTAACACACAAGTTATTGTCATGAAACTAGAAAAATGCTTGTTTTTTGCCCCTTTTTTGGCCCCTAATTCCTAAAATTTCGAGGCAATTACCCCCAAAATCAATCCCAGCATTCCCTATGTGATATGGAACCTTGTGGTACAATTTCAGAGAGATCCATACACTTGAACACAAGTTATTGTCCGGAAACTAGAAAAAATGCTTATTTTTGGCCCCTTTTTGGCCCCTTATTCCTTAACATTTTGGGCAATTACCCCCAAACTCAATCCCAGCTTTCCCTTTGTGATATGGAACCTTGTAGTACAATTTCAGAAAGATCCATACACTTACACACAAGTTATTGTCATGAAACTAGAAAAATGCTTGTTTTTTGCCCCTTTTTTGGCCCCTAATTCCTAATATTTTGAGGCAAATACCCCCAAAATCAATCCCAGCATTCCCTTTGTGATATGGAACCTTTTGGTACAATGTCAGAGAGATCCATACACTAACACACAAGTTATGTCTGGAAGTTACAAAAATGCTTATTTTTGGCCCCTAATTCCTTAACTGTTGGTACCATAACCCCCAAAATCAATCCCAACCTTCCTTTTGTGGTATTGAACCTTATGGTAAAATTTCATAGAGATCCATTCACTTAAACTAAAGTTAGAGTGCGAAAACCAATGTGTCTTCGGACGACTCCTGTCTACATCGTTGACCTCGCCGACATCGTGATGTTGACAACATCGTGACGACATCGTCTACATCGTCCCCCTTTCCTGTCTACATCGTTGACATCGCCGACATCGTGATGTTGACAACATCGTGACGACATTGTCTACATCGTTTTTCTTGCCGTCTACATCGTTGACATCGCCTACATCTTTTTTTTAAATAAAGAATTGTATAGTTTATCAATTTCAATTTCAAATAATGTATTTATATTATGCCTGTGTCGATGTTCTTAATATTAGAACTTATTTGGACAGTTTTTTAATGTTTGCAAATCTCTATCCTCCTC